CCACCATCCCAAGTGCTAAGCAGGCCTGCTTAGCTCGAGATCTCATGGGATCCATCTCTCTCTGCTGTGTGCGCAAGCGATTTTTGACTTATGGAGACGCTAAGGAGAACCAATGGTGGCATCGCTTGGCAAGATTTGTTGGGAAGGGGTTAGCCTTTGCCTCCCTCTGAGGCTGAGAGAGTGTGACTGAGAACCAAGGTTCTCAGTCGTATTCCAACGTTCAAACCATTACACCACGCCGGCTCCCAGTAACATATCTAGAGCGGCACAAGTTTCACTCCCAAGGGGACACAGCCATCCATTTTCACAGATAGGCTAAACTCCTATCTTACAGTTGTAAACCGCTTAGACATCCCATAGCGTGATATGAAGCGGTATATAAATGAAGCTGCTTTGCTTTGCTTTGCTGAAGAAGGTTGCCAACTACGATAGCACTCATAGGGCCTAAGCAGACTGCCAGAAATAGTGCACATTAAATTGAGGCACTGCCCTGGCTCAGTGCTAGGGAATCATGGGAATTGTATTTTTTTCTGAGACATTGAGCCTTCTCTGTCAGAGAGCTCTGGTGCCACAATAAATTACAGTTCCCATGATTCCCTAGCACTGAGCCAGGGCAGTGCCTCAATTTAATGTGCACTATTTCTGGCAATCTGCTTAGGCCCTTAATCATGATGCAGAGAGATCTTGCCGCACCTTTGAGACTAACTGAAAGAAAGAAATTGGCAGCATGAGCTTTCGTAGGCTTCAGCCTACTTCCTCAGATGCATTTGGCGGAGTGGAGTCCAGGCACAGACATATATATGTGAGGATGTCAATTCATGGTGTGTGTGTGTGTGTGTGAGAGAGAGAGAGAGAGAGAGAGAGAGAAGAGACATTTTTTAAAACAATTGCTTCTGGGTGTCTATTTTCTCATTTGTGAATAGAAGCCTCTGTTCCCAACAATCCTGGCATTTGGAGTGCGGCGAAAACTGGATTTTTAAAACAGGTTTTTTAAAAACAGGATTAAATACAAAACTCCAAATGCATTTACACCTATTACTATCCTAGCATGAGACGGCGTGGTTTCTAATCCGAATGTCTTTTCTTGGTTTATTGATTCAATTGTATGTGTGCATTTGCTTCCAACTTTTCCTTTAAAAATGTCTTGCTGTGCACGTGTGGTGTTTTTGGGGCACCTATGACTGATCATTCCTGAGTCCAATTTTGCTTGATCATTTAGGGATTTGAGGTAGATGGGGGGGAGGATCAGCATACTAGATTTAGGGGGCTCGACCTCCCCTCTCCCCCTTTCTGAGGTTCTGGATTCAAGATGGAGGATTTAACGCCTTGGTCTTGTGAAACCTTCCAATTC